GATTTATAAATTTCAGTAAATAATTAAATGAGAATTGCAAAATACTAATATACAAAACGAATAACAAGAAGGAACAAAAAAAAAAAAAAACTTTTAATCCGAGGCTCGTGTTACACATAATTTCCTTAAAACAGATTCGCCCCCTCACCGTACGTACTTGAGGTGTAATTTGAGTGTATGCTTCCCAAGATACAACGGTGGAACAGTAGAATCTGAACACCACAGATTTTACTCCGACGAACTAAGTTAGAACCCGAACAATATCACCACCAGACTCAAACAAAAACGAAAATAGAGACAAAACTTGAACTGTATGATGATGAATATTCAGATGAATTCGTGTACGCAGGTCGTGTCCGTACACAAGTTCAAGGTCTGATTCCTATTTCGGTCCGTGATTTGCACCCTCCTACGCGCACACGCAGAGAAAGGCTCTATGCTACACATGATTACACCATTCTAAAGTGCAATACTTTTTAAAGTGATTTTAAATTTCCTCAACTTCCTATGTGGGACTGAGCTTAACTTTTTAGTTTTCCAACAAACAACNCAAAATTCGTGTCAAAGTCACCCACAAACTCAATTTTTTCCAACACCACTTCAAGGGCTTATTGTATTAATAATGTAAATAAAGCAAAATACAAATCTGGGAGGGGTAGACCTAACCTCCAGCTCATGGTGCAACAAAAGCGAACTTATCCTATTCCGGGATGTAGAGTACACAATTTAAAAATATAGAAGTTAAAGAACTACATTTTATGCATTATAATCTTCATCATTATAGATTAATTGTAGAGTTTCTCCTACATTTGGTCATTTTCGTACTAGATACTTGAAAAAGATTTTGTGAACTTATTATCTTATCTCCAGCTCGAAAAGTTCAAATCTTCACAATCGCCAAATTGTATCCTAAAACATTTTCAGTATATTCGCTTACTCTCGAATCGAAAGATTTTGCCTCTATGACCTCACTAGCAACATAATTACTAACGCCACACCTGTCGATATCCAATCTCATCTAACACCAACTATTAATCTTTACGAATCATTAATTTCTCAATATTAATTAAAAGACTTTTTGAGTGACTCCATGAACAAATGGTCATTCTCATTACTTTACTAGTTGCAAGCAAATAGAAACCCATTCCTGTTCAATTAACGATACAAGAATGAGTCAAACATGATCCCAAACTAGTGAATGGAATTGCAAGGACAGATGCAAATGTCTTCAAATGGGCATCAAACTCATGCTGTCACACTCACACTTATGTTTCCTCTTTTGTTTTAGTACTTTTTACCATAACATCTGTTTTCAACCACCCCAAGGCTGTTGCATGTTAAGAGACAAATCAATTTCAAGCAAAATTTCTCATTTACTAGTTCTTTTTTTTTTTTTTTTTTCGGTCTTTACAAACCCAAAAAGAAAAAAAAAAATCAATGATTCACAATCAAGATTGATTTGAATCAGAAAAAAATGAAAATTGGAAAATTGTTAAAAATGAAAATAACATCATGGTCACAGAAGTATAAATTTCTATGATCTTCAGCATGATGTCACTGTAACACAGATCAAGGGCTCCCTATCATTCTCATGATCAGATTCACTAGGCAATGCTGTTTCACCACATCCTATACACGTAAGCACCTGAGCCCTCGTTGCTTGGTACTCCCAGTTTGTTGTCCCAACCACATATAACATTAGACCAGCACAACAAACTTGGGCAGATAGCAGTCCAATCCAAAGTCCACAAAATCCAACACCAAGCAAGAAACCCAGCCCAATTGCCACCGGCATCCCAACTAGATAGAATGCACCAAGGTTCACATTAGCCGCGGTCGATGGTCGGGCTGTCCCACGTAGGATCCCACATCCAATAGTCTGTGGACAGTTCCCGAGCTCACATAACCCTAGGATTGGCAGAGCAGCAGATGTCAACCGTATAATGTTGAGATCATCCGTGAACATTCGAGCCCACAAATTTCTAACCAATATTGCAAACATCATAGCAGATAAGCCCATTAAACAAGCTACGAAGATTGACACAATTGCCGAGACCCGAGCTTTGTCAGGCTGGTTGGCACCGAGTTCATTTCCAACCCGAGTCGACACTGCAAACCCGAGTGATGAGGGAAACACGTAAAGCAAAGATGTAGTTTGAATCAAAATGCCCATGGATGCCACGGTTGCCTTGGGGTCCACTAAAAGTCCACACAACACAATCATAATCTCATACCACCACCACTCTAGACAAACCGAAACACAGCTCGGCCCAGCCAGCTGAACAAGCGGAGCCCAGCCAGTCAAACACTTCCAACTCGGCTTCGTCCATGTTGGCAAGTGCAATCCACGAGCCCAGACGTAAAAAATAACCGTCAATAACACGATAACATTTGAAGCGGCTGAGGCAGCTGCAACACCAGCCACGCCAAACTTGAGCCGGAAAACGAACAAGTAATTGATGGGCAAATGCACAGCTGTTCCAGCAAGTGAAGCCATTGTGAGCGGCTGAGTGATACCTTGCGCCCGAAGGTAAATCCGTATGGGATGAACAAACGAATTGGTTATGAGATCAGGAAGTGAAAAAAGAAGATACGTGCAAGCCAAGCGTGTGATGTTGGGATCTTGATGTAAACACAGAAGAATCTTGGAAATATTGATCCAAAGAAATGTAATTGGTATAGAAGAAACCAGAAGAAAAATAATAGACCTTTGCAATGTTAAAGAAAGGAGCTTGGGTCTTTGAGCGCCGAAGGCTTGCGAGCAAAGTGGTTCCATTCCTAGTGCAAGACCCGATAGCACTGAATAACCGGTTATATTAGCGAAGGCTATGGCTAAAGAGCCTGCTGCCAGTTCAGTGTCACCAAGGTGGCCTAGAAAAAGCATCGAAAGTACAGAGCGAGAATAGAAAATAAGTGCAGTTAATGCTATAGGAAAAGCAAGGCTGAAGAGTTGTTTAGTTTCGTTTAAAATCTCTGAGGGAGTTAGCACTAGGGATGGTTTTTCTTTGGTGGTTTTTTGGGGATTGAAGGATATTAGATCAAGATAGAGGTGGGCTTGTTGCGGTGGCGCCACCGTGAAGTGTTTGTGATCTTGATGATCAATGAGAGTTTGGGAGGTGTTTGGATTGCACATATTGAGCGGCGGGGTAGTGGCCGGGGGAGATTTCTGTTGGCTTTTCTTGAATTGTATGTATGTATATGGAATATGGATCAATTTCTTAAGAGATACTCTCACACACTTGTGTATATCAATATCTGGGGCTATTAATAGAAGAGGTGATGTAAGTTTTTTTTTTTTTTCAATCGACTTTTTTCGTTCTAAATTTAGAGCATGTTTGACGATCATTTTGGTAGAAAAGAGAATTTTGAATATTGAGTTTAAGGAGAATGTGTGATTAAAAAGTATAGAATTATTTTTGATATAAATATAATATACTTTATTGTATGAATATATGATTGAAAATAACCATATAACAAATTATAAAATATATTAAAAAGTGCTCACTGCCTTCATGGAGGATATTTTTTATTTCCTTTATATCTCTTTTTGGAATTGTAATACAAGTAATGTTTCCTTGTGGTTTCAAGAGTAGACTGAGTAGCCATTGAGGGAAGATTGGTAGTCCCCAGAGCTGCAATTTCCAATGTGAGGTTATTTTTACAAGGATTTTTTTAATTACTCCTCTCTCATTTATATATAGGTTGATTTTCCTCATTTTTCTTGTCTCAATTATATAATCATATTTTTTTTATTGAAATTATTTAATTCAGTTCATTTACCAATATACCCTTATTTAATTTACCTTATTATAATCAATTTTCTCCATTTAATCTTGAAATTGTATAAATATAACTACTTGAAATTATCCAATTTCTTTATGGTTCCCATTGAATACGGTCAAAATAATTTATGAATGTGAGAATTGAAAATTAAATCATTCAATTTCTTTAATACTTCCAACAATAATTTATTGCTAATTGTTGATAATTAAATAAGGATAAAGTAGAAAAGTTTTTGACAAAAATTACTTTTTGAATAACATTAAATAATCTTTTTATATATAAAAAGTGGCTATTTAACGGAATTTGTTGGTTTAACGGAAAAACTAACGGAATTTGTTGTTTTAACGAATTATGTAACAGAATTTCTTATTTTAAACAGGCAGCTGCACCTTCCTTCAATATTTTTATCCTAACTTTATATTCCGATATTCGATTGAGTCGATTCAAAATGTGTCGGAAAACTAACCCATCTGGCTACAACTTTGATTCAGACATCATTCTCCAATTCGATCACTTTCTATGCAAAAAATATGTCTCAATATAACAGACTATGTAACAGAATTTTTTGTTTTAAATAGGCAGCTGCACCTTCCTTCAATATTTTTATCATAACTTTGTATTCCGATATCCTATTGAGGCGATGCAAAATGTGTTGGAAAGCTAACTCATTTGGATACAACTTTAATTCAGACATCATTCTCCAATTCGATCACTTCCTATGCCAAAAATAGGTCTCAATATGAGACTAAAACACCGGAGCATAACTTTTCGGTTGGAAATTGATTTGTGATCATCTTTTGA